TTTGACAAAGCCTACGACTCATTATCTTAACGCACTCTTCACTTGGGATTGAACTTTTCACCACTCTGAAAATGTTAATGTTGGTGAGCGGTTAGTAGTAATAGAGTGAACAGTGCTCCAATTTCTTGGACATTCAGGACTTACTTTAGAGTCTTTTTTCTTTCTCTTTCTATTTAATTCCACTCGTGATGCCACAAAAATGGAAGTTAATGTCAATACAAAAAAAACTTGACATAAGCCAGTACTCTAAAAATGTAAGATGAAGTATGTATGTTAGAAGAAGATATGAGGGTGTCAGCGCAATAGTGGCCTATTCCAGATCCTGTGTTTGGAGAAAATGGCTGATGACGTTATTGGCAAAAATTAAACACTCATTTGTAAGTGTTTCATATTATGATATTATGTAAGAATGACCACTGACTAAACCATTTTGGTGGTTACATCATTTGTGTAAAACAGCATCGCCTATGCTTAGACCACTATTGCACAAAGAAATGTATTCGTAAGCTGAGCTGCAATAGTTTGTGTTTGTAATTTATAACTTGAAAACTATGCACGCGAACATGCTGAAACTGGTTACAACGTTGAAGTTAGGGAGATTAAGATGTGATTAACAACAGTGAACGCAATTTCCTTAAAAATGTGTGATTGGCCACTATTGCGCTGTCACCCTCATATAATAGACTATAAGAATCTTGCACTTACAAGAGTTTCCCGCTACAAGTGACATACTCTGTGTCACCGTATGCCTTAATAAGAGGTTTTAGAATACCTACTTTAAAAATGTTCGTAATCTAACCATTTATAGTTAATGTAGTTTCAAAACATATTTTTTTCTTTTTATCATTCGTCAGCATTAGCAGTTCTGGTTAATCTACCCTGCAGAGATAAACCTATAGAATAGAAACATAATTATATTTTCACAATTTAGTACTTTTACCCCTTCCCCTCTTCCAACAACTCGTAACCCGGTACTTTCTTACTCCATCCTGAGATTAACGATCTATTTCAACCCCGTCCTTCGTCATTAGGCAATATGCATTAATTATTACTGGTTAATTATTACTTTTGAAAAGAAGATGAGTTACTAACTTTAAATATACACATTTGACAGTTTTATACGAAATATTATTAAATAACTTTTACATTTAAAAGAAAAGAGTGCACGCTTTAAATGTGTATCCACATCATCGTCATACACAGAAATGATATAATCTTAAACGTTGGCAATTACTACAGTCGAAATGTAATAGATGTTATTAGAATATAATGTCAATGTTTGTTTGCATCTTTGGTCACACGTAAACACAAAACTATTACTGCAAAAAAAATATTTTGATTATGTTCATTTTTCATGAATCCCCACTTTTTGGGGATGCACTGCACCCAACAATCTCTAAAAATTTACGTCCATTCAAAACATATTTTTAAGGCGAACCGGAAATGCCCCTTGATTTATCCAACTTACGGATTTTCAGAGAATTAAATCTGCCTTCATTATATGACCACATAACATGAATAGCTCACAAATTTTATGAAAACCTTTTCTCTCCCCGTTCTCGCTAAATTTCTGTGTAGGTCACATTGCTGCATACCCACGTATCGTATCCAGATATACCAAATATCGATTCAAACCACCATAATTCCCTAAAACTGTCCATTAAATTTAATATAAAACGTGTTTCAACCTCGCACAGTTTAACTTAGCCTAATGTATCCCGAGTAGTAAAAACCACTGCTTATGGATTAGCCAGCCAATGGATGGCCAAAATGCCACAAACTCTATATTGTATAATGAAACTCCTCGAATGACAAAATTCGTCGAACGAGAAGAAACGAATTTCAAAAAATCCCCTCCTGCTCCCTCTTCTCTTTTGAACTCAGGGCCGGAAGCGCCGGTGTTTTTCGGGTGGCCCCTTCGGCCCTGACGCAGAACGTTTAAAAGGGGAGCCGGGCCCTGTAACGCGCCTCTCCGCGTGCGAAGGTGGGCGGGGCGGAGCGAGGAGGGGCGGGGAGCGGAGGGGGGGCTGGCCCGATCCCAGCCATTCCCCACCGGGGCCGCTGCCCAGAATTTGGCATCTGGTCGCCCAAGCGCGCAGCATCCGAGCACCAATTTCGCTCGCGTTTTCGCCTCGTTTCAACGCTTCGCCTCTTCCAGAGCGCGGTACGCGGGTGCTCTGCGAACGCGGGTGGGATGTTGATTATTAATACGTTTGACACGAAAAGAACAACTGGTGGACCTCGAATGAAAGACATCTCATGCGTCAATTTTAAACATTTGTCCCACTTTGGGATGATTTTGGACCACAAAGATGGATCATCAAAGGAATTTGACTTTCATTTCTTTGATTTATATCGATAAAACAGTTTGTGATGGTGGTGGCTCTGACAAAGTGTATTTTCTCGTGTGTAGATTCACTCTCACTATGTCAGGTAATATCGAATATTCCTAAAAGAATCTTCTGAATTTGATCATCATAATACATTACTTAATTGATATAATTTTGATATTATTTTTTGTGGGTATTGTGATTTTTTCAGAATCGAAACACACTTAACTGACAAAAATTAATGACTCTTCTCCTTTTTACCACAGTATCTTGAAAGTGATGAAATGTAAACAAGTTGATGTAACTCCCCATTATCCGGGTATATAATTAACATAACCGCAGAGAGGGACAACCATTAAAAAGGAAAAGCATTCAACTATTTTTGTGATGTCAAAATAGTGGATTCATCAGCAAACTTACTGCTAAAGACGCCGAAAAAATCAAGTTTTGTAATTTTCGAAAATTTATAGTTAATAATGAAAATTGCCAACTTCATAATTGTATTCTCTCTTTTCTTACAATAAATAAAAAAAACTAGTGATGCTACATCAGCACGTACTTTCTCGCACTATTTCTAGCAGCTCTTCTGTATTATACTATAACATGTAAAAGTGTTTCCATCCACAATTTTTTTTTAGTACCCACACTCGAACTCAGGTCCTCCAAGTTAACTCCCTTTGAGCCTTACCTCTACGCTATAAAAACGCCATGTATTTCGAACTCGGGACGACTCTTAAAAATGTAACTGTTTGAAACCAATATTTCCAACAGGCAATTTTTGAAATGTTCTAAAATACGGAAAGTTTGCCTAAAATGGGTCTAGCATCCTATTTTTTACCATTTCTTAATACATACGAGGAGAAAATATAAGAAAAAATTTGAAGTGGTATTTGAGAAAATAACTGTTAAAAATTGCCAAAACTTCACGCACAATTACGCAAAACTACTCACCCTTTCGAAAAATTGTACATGAAGTTATTTCAATATTTGTCTTTAAACAACAGATCTCATTAAGGAAAAAATCTCTCTTCAACATTGTAATTATAAAACTCAAAATTTTGACAAATTGCTAGAGAAATAATGCGAGAAAGTATTTAATGTAGAATCATTAGTTTTCTAAATTTAGATACGTTTGATGCCTCTCTCCGTCTAAGTATTATTCTCTCTTCATCGTTGTCCAGTCCGGGGCGTCTCAAGTGGGCGGCCATCTGGGCGTGCCCGGCCCAGCGCGTATGTGGGGGAACCGGCGCGGCGTGCCCACTGCTCGCGAGTCAGCCCGACGTGAAGAGAGGCGTATACCGACTGCATCCCACGGTCAACTCAGCCCAAGCCGTATACCTACCTCCCCAAAAAGGCATAGTACGACTCCATCCTAATCCGTTTTTCTCCTCAGCCGAAATATTGATTTCTACCTTTACGGTGGTCTGCTTAGTATTATATCGATCGACTGTAATTGATCCACTTCTGACTGTTTTCAAGAAACATTTGCAAGTCTTTTAGGGCACTAGTGCCAACGATGAAAACCACCGCTTAAAAAGTGTGGAGAAACAAGACATGAAATCACATATACTGTTATATTCGCAAACACTGCCTTTGGTAGGCACTGACAGCTGTTGACAGTTTCATCCAATCGGGAGCTTGAAAGTCACCATAGTGACCATAGTGATGTCATCCCAATTGGATGAAACTGTCAACAGCTGATACCTGCCAGAGGCAGAGTTGCAGAAATCGCAGTATACACTGAGTGGACAGAAGTCATGGAATAGCAATGTACAATTATACAGATGTGTAGACGTATCGCCTACAAAAGGACGGGTAGGTAAGGTATATCAGCGCGATTGTCAGTTCGGCCAATATTGCGATAAATAAAGGCAGAGATTTTCTTTTAAAGAACAGTCCAAACCAAAAGTTTGCAGGCTGAGTTTTCCTGAACAAAAGGAAAAAGCCTCGATTATATCAGTAACATACCCAACAACTTGTGTTGTTCATCTGAAGTGGTTTTGATTGATATTTTTGCGTCATTTTTCTTTATTTTTAGGGTATTTTTTAAGCATTTTAAGAGTATTTTATTGGTCACTCTTGGCCATGTTTTAGGGCATCAAAATCCGCCCCCTAATCATCACGGTGATGATGTTGATAGTAATAAGGATCTGTGATTTTTGAGGTATTCATAACGGTTATCTTCTGAGTCCAAGTGTTAATAATCGTTTTTCTTTCTACGTTCGACAGAGTTCGTTCATTCTCTGCTGTTTTCGTTCGAAGAATTTCAAGTCTCTCAGATCAACGCCCCGGCCGGATCCTGGTCCTTCGCCCAACTAAACGGCAGCGATGGCGGTGCCGGCATCTGTGATGACGCAAAACAACATTGATGAGGATTCCGAAAGAAAGTTTCTTAAAGCGTCAATGAGTTGCCTCCTGAATAGCGTTGGGTTGTCTTGGATAGAAAACGTTTTTCCTTCTACGCCGAATAGGAGTCCATTCCCTTCTGTGTCTCTATTCTCCCCTTTTCAGGCACACAGCCCAAGTCCAGATTCTGAGCCTTTTCACCTTGCCGGAATATCCGCGTGACGATAGCAGCTGTGGCAGTGGCGGTGGCGTTTGGCGGTGCGCCAGTGGGGGCGGCGCGCGGGCGGGGGGGCGACTTCAGGCGGCGCGCCTCGCCACGCTCACCGGCCGCCGACCGCGGCGGGCGGCGGCGGCGGCGGCTGGTGGTGGTGGCGGCGGCGGTGGCGGCGGCGGTGGCGGCGGGCGGCGGCGGTGGCGCGTGACGGTGTGGCGGTGACGGTGGCGGCGGCGGCGGCGGCGGCGGTGGCCGGCGGCGGGCGGTGGCGGCGCGGCGGCGGTGGTGGCAGCGACGGTGGTGGCGCTGATGGCGGGCGGAAGCGGAGGCGGCTGTCGTGACGGCGGCAGCGGCGGCGGCGGCTGCGGCGGTGGTTGTGGCGACGGTGACGACGACGCGGCGCGCGACGAGGCATGTGGCGAAGGGAGGCCCAGAAATAGCGCGCCCATGCCCGCCGCCCCTTGTAGCCTCCACGCGAAACTTGGATATGATTCCCTTCAGATGGCTTCCTCTATATTTAACCCATTTCGCAGTTCACAGGGCCAACACACGCCATCCCACTTTTCGCAAAAAAATGGTTCTTTTGGTCAAATGCCCAAGCCGCGTTTATGAAGTAGGCGAGATCTTATTGTTGTCAAACATCCTAGCTAATGTAAGCCCCAGGTTTCTCTTTTTGCGACCTGAATGAACGCTTTTTAACCTTGCTTTGTGTAAGATCTTGTTCTTCTAGCCGGATTTCCCCCCACGGGATTGCATAGCAGTGCAGAGAAAGAGGCCTTGATGCAATTTGCTATAGTGACTTCACATTCTGTCGGCGTGTTCATTTTATTGACAGGCTTGTACTCGTAACGACGCGCCAAGTCCTGAGCCCGTCTCGAGGAGCGTGAGATCGATTCCCGCCATTATTTCGCACTTCATGCTCTGAAGGAGGACGTGCGGAGCTTGACGTCGAAGAGCCCAAACAATAAATCGACTTTTCTAAAAATCGGTTGTCGACGGCGTAGGCCATGTGAAGAGCAAAATAGATAACGAACCGATGTCATTAAAGGGAGACCAATACATTTCATTTCAACGCCTGTCCACTTGTATATTTTTTTGAACTTTATTGTGTTTGAATCGCTAAAATATAATAAAATTGAACTACATTTGAATTCTTTTAAATTAAAGAAATATTCGTCTTGTATTTATATAACGCTCGACATTGAGCGTATTTTTAATTTTGACAACTTCAAAAAGTTACACAACTTCTGATTTTATTAGTAAATAACAGGCAACGAATGGAGACAAATTATTGAAGCTAAATGCGCATTAAGTAGCGAGGTTGGATGAGTTTTACTCTACATTGACAGCATTGTTGATTAGCCATTGATATAGCCATTTTTATACCCGTTCTTCAGGAATACTGGACATTGCTTTTCGTGTACTGTTAACCGAAGTGAATTACACAATACTGTGAACGAAATTAATCTCGACTTGCTCTGGATACCTTTTGACCTTTCTTCTAGGCAACCCAAACAATACGAGGGGAGAAGGTGGTTCCCACAATTGTGATAAAAAGGCACGAGACGGAGATACCGATAGAGTGTTTTTTCTTTCAAAACGTCCGTCAGCCTGCCCCTCTGTCCGTCCGTGTGTGAAAAACATTATTAGCTCCTTAACTTCTCTAAGCTAATAAAATGGCAAGTAATTAACTTTACATTTTTACACGGATAGAGACAAGAAAATTAAGCAATGGAACAAGTCTAATTTTTTGTTGAACTATCAGAATTTTTGAAAATAGCAAATTCTATAAATAAAGCGAGAAAGTATGTACTGTTGTAGCTATAATTTATTTAACTCAGGGTATGTGTGTGTGCGAGGGGAGGAAATATAACAGTCCCAGAGTTTCCTTTTGTTAAGAGTTAAAAGCTGGCTGTTACAACGGAGGTGCGGGGGCGGAGGCGCGGGTGCAGCGCTCGATTTGATTGCATGGTGTCCAGCGCAGGAAACTCATTCAGACATTAGTCCCGTTAGAGTAGTGAAGTATTTACTTCGGGAGGTGGCGGTGTTTCTGCCCCGCTGAAATGTGATCGAATGGGATTCGCCTATTCTGAACAATCCTATTAATGGGAGAAACCACGTAAAACCTCCGATCGGAGCAGCCAGCTGCTTGAATCCCCCCCTCCCCCAGTGGCTGAACTGGACTTAGCAGTGTAGGTAGTATCGAAAATCCGTCAGTACCGGGTCTCAAAATCATCGTTTTGTAGAAACATCGATGTAATAATGCCGATGTTTTTTTAACATCGATATTTTGTGATCGATGTATTTTTTCTTTTCCGAAGTTTTGTTTCTGAATGAAAAGTTCTCTTGATAACAATGCTACAAAAGTTATGGTATGAAATATAACTAATGGTAACTCTTTTAGTTGACTTGGAACCAAAGGAACGCTGTTTGTACTACTTTCATCGAACAAACTCTCTGGCTCGACATGACCTCCATGCCCTTGTATTTCCTCTTTCTTCGTATTAATTTCGCACACTGAGAAGTGGTCAACAAATGCGCTGTGAGCGTCGTGTCTGCTCCTTCTTCTCGTACCCTTATTCGGTGAGTTGATAAACACCAACACTGTCAATTCAAATTTTGTTGCATACAATTTAATGCTGGAGGTTACCAAAACAGCTTGAAATCATCGATGTTTAAAAAAATCGATGGCTTTTAGACGATGTATTATTAACATCGATGTTTTAATTTTGAACATCGATGTTTGCTAACATCGATGTTTTGTTATCGATTTCGCATCACCAGTCCCAAACCCTACGATCTCCCTCTGGGTGTTCTGTTGTTAAGGGTAAGAAATTATCGGAAAGTGGGTTTAAAAAGGCTCAATTTTGCGCACTTTTGTTTGTCTCAAGCAGCTCTATCGCGGTCGTGGGAGGCGCACGCGGTGTGTCCGGCGTCACACATGGTCCCACATGGGCGAGCGCGTCCGTTCTGCTCGGTGCCAGCGGGCGGACGGGCGGGTGGNNNGGGTGGGCGGGTCCGCCAGTCTTGCCCGCGACGCGACGCGGGAAGCGAAACGTCGTGGACCTTGGCTATCTTTGTGTTGAGCGCTCCCACGCGCTCGCTCGCACGCACAGGCCCCTCCGCGGGGGTGGCGCGCGGGGGCGTGGCGATAAATGACACAACAAGGAAAGGCTGTTCGAAAGTTCACATCAGAGGCGTTTCTGGACGCAAATATGGAGCAGCCTCTCCCAAATTTTATTGGAGAGGCCGAAGGCACCTGGGCTCCTTATAAATGGTGGGTTGGATAATAAAAATTCCGACCTTGATTTGACAAATAAGAATGTAATCAATGTAGAAATAGTAGGGAGGTCGAAGTCTTCGGAATGTACCATCTGCGTTGTGCAGTGTCATTCAACAAGTTCAGCTGCAACTTCTATTAAGCAAGTAATAACAATAATAATAATGATAAATAGAAATTGTCTGACCCCTGTGGGGTAGGTGGTTGCAGCAGCCGTCGTCTGTGCCGAGGAGGCTGCAGGTTCGAGTCCTGCGTCGACATGGTTGTATTTGTGATTGTCCCTTCACCTATCATCATCATCCTTTCATCTCATAATTTACACTTCAAGGCGTAACAACCTTGTTGTAATCCAAGGATACAGCTGAAAAGCTGATCCTGGAAGAATTACACACGTTAATCGTGTAGCGTGGTTAGTAATGGCCTATACGCCAATAATAATAATAATAATAATAATAATAATAATAATAATAATAATAATAATAATAATAAATAGAAATTTAGTTTATTGATCTGCTCGACTATTAAAATCTTTCGTGGTCTGAGTTCAAACCGAAGTGAGGCAAGTCGTCTCTGAATCAGTAGTAAGGATTTTGTGTTCTGGTACGATTCACTTCCCTCCTCTCCCCCTGCGCGCCGAGTCTCGCGCAGTTGACTCGCCACTGCTTACGCACAGTGCTGTCATTTAGCCCGATTCGCGTGAACCGATTGTTAAAATTATTGTAGTTCGCAGTGCCGGTAGTTAAAATTTGTGTGATACGTTGAAATTTATCACAATGAAGTTGTTAAAATTACTGTAACTCGAAATGACGTATTTCTGGTTGGGACAATCTCTCTTGATTTGATCCTCTTGCTGAATGGATCGTGACTGATTTTGTGAAATCCTGTCTACATCTTGGATATCATACGGCGGATGACACCCGCTTCAGGTTAAGTTCTTAAATTACTGTATCTACAAATTCGTAAAAGTAAGTGGCATTAAAACGTTTCTCTAGAATATTACCTCATTTAATGAACCATTTATTGAATTGAAATAAAAATAAGTTATTTAAAATCGTTGGAGAGAAACTGTTCTTTAAGAAAATGTCAGCACTGCTTACGGGCGTCCTTTGGCTGCCAGCAATCGTGCCCAACAGTAACGATCATTTAAACGTTCGCAATAAACGTTCGTATTTGAAACAGCACTACATCACAAAATTAGATAAAGGGCGTGAAAATACAACCCTTAGAACGCAATTTTCCTGTCGTGGCGATTACGATTGTTCACAACCCGTAAGGTGATGAAATACAATACTTCGATGTTTATGTCAAAGAAATATTATTGAACACATTCAAACAGCACATTTTTGAAATTTGGCATCCGAGGGGCTAACTGGAAATATTTACTTCATATAAAATGTTAATAAAATTGGTACTCTTTAGGAAAACGATTTTAAAAAGATATACTTTTCATGTAATCGGAATTCCTGTCAGATTCATGATATGCAACTTTAAGGAAATGGAATTCGAAATATTATGTGTTGCATGTAATATTTTATAATGTTACAATTAAATGAAGCAGTTAATGGCACATGAACTCTTCTAAGGTTTCTTTCGCATACTAATACCCTCTCCCAAATATAGCTATTTGTGCACTATGTTAACATCGCGATTTTCGTAAAATTGTGGATTGTCTCTTTACCACATGTCTTGTTGATATTTATGATAAGCTTTGGGTTGTAACATGATAGGTATCAGAAACACACTTTGAACAAAATCGAATATTAACATTTACGAGTAGCGGGAAGCTATGTGGTGGGTGTGTTTTTTCTTCTTTCTGCCACAAGCCCTTTATACACACAAATATGATTGAAGTTGAAAACTGTTCAGATAAAGGTGTTTTGTTCTTAGGATAATTGTTAGCACCGACAAACAAATACTGAATGAGATATTTCAACGTTCCTTTCATTTAATTTCAAAACTTTAGAAATTAATTAAACTTTCAGTTTAATGAAACTTGCTAAGAAAAATAAAGTATAACAAGACTGAATTAAAAATATAGATTATTAAAGGTACCTAATATTGTGGCTCTCAAGTCAATACCAAAAGAAAAATTGGGAAACAAATCATGGCAATAACTTGTAGGCTCCTTTCTAAATGAGTCCAGCTGCCAGACTATTCGTGCCGAGAGAC